TTCACAAATAAAATAAAATAAAATAAAAAAGAACAACCCAAAACTTAAAAAAAAAACTTTCATTTTATCATATATTCATATACATCTTCCAGATCTAGATTTCAATTTTTTGCTCATTCGCGCATTTTCTGCAATTCTTTTTTTTTGGGGGGGGTCTGGTTGTGGGGCCTGAACTCTGGGCCTGGGCGCTGTCCCTCAGCTCTTCAGCTCAAGGCCAGCGCTCTACCACTTGAGCCACAGCACCACTTGCAGCTTTTTTCTTTTTGCTTATGTGGTGCTGAGGAATCTAACCCAGGGCCTCAGGCATGCAAGGCAAGCGCTCTACCACTGAGCTACCTTCCCAGTCCCGGCTGAGCAGTATTAAATACCTTTTACCTTTTTTTTTCTTGTCCCAACTATATATGAGATCGTAGACAGCAGGATGATGCACATATTGAGATAGTAGGTAAAATGAATAGTTATAATAAGATGTAAATACTATAGTTATTTGTTTTTCTTTTTTTTCATGAGAGGTAAGGAGATGATGTTTACTTGGGAGATTTTTATTCCCTCTGGTAAACTAAAGGGGCCAAGGAAAAAAGGGAAAAAGAAGACAGGACTCTTTTTGATGTATCTAGGCCAAAGGGCACGAGATAAGGACAGTCAAGGGAAAAAAAGAAACACAAGGCATCAGAAGTCGTAAAATAGAAAAGAAAAGGTAGTACAAAGAAGCTGGTACCGGGGCTGGGAAGGTGGCTCAGTGGTAGAGCGCTTGCCTTGCATGCTGAGTCCAAGCCCCACAACCAACCAAAAAAAAAAAAAAAACTCAACAAAATATATATTTTAAATGGGTAAATGTTATTGAATGTTAAGTATCTCAACAAAGCAAGTTTGGTTTTGTTTAGCTCACCTTTTGGTTTTATTACCATGTTAGTATACTGCATGTGGTAGAGATAAATATTTGGCATAAGTAATACATGTCTGGCATGAATGAATGAATGTGTTTCTTTCTCTTTTATTTTTATTTATTTATTTTCGTTGGTTGTGGGGCTTGAACTCTGGGCCTGGGCGCTGTCCCTCAGCTCTTTAGCTCAAGGCGAGCACTCTACCACTTGACCTACAGCGCCACTTCCAGTTTTTCTTTCTTTTTTAATAGAAAAAGGATAAAAGCTACTCATTTGGTCCATTCCCACTAGCAGGGTTTACCTATCAGGTGAAAAAATGTTCAACATAAACTTGATCCTGAGATGACACAGTTCAGCCCTAAATATATGAATGAGTGATGTCACCCTGGGTAGCCAAGGGGGCCTAGGCAGACAGCTGCAGGGAACAAGGCCTCAGGAGAAACCCTGGGGTGCAGGCCACTCCAGGACAGACCTGTCTGTGACGGTCACATGTCTGAATCCCTTCCCACATCTCCACTCATGGAAAAGCTGAAAAGTTCCATGAGAAATGGGGCCTTTGTATCAAAAACAGACTTTCAAGGAAAAACATAAAAACTGTTTCCTGAAACCAGACAAAGGGAAGCTGTGTTGGAAAAGTAAATGCTTGAAAGGCCAATGTGGATTTTGAAGTGCCACAGAAACTGGTGGTGACAATTCAGAGCATGTTCCTTACATGGAACATGTGGAATTTTACTGGATTTAGGTGCCTCCAGTCTCCTTACACTTCATTCTGCAGAAGCTCCGAGGATCCACTGAAGGCAGTCTCAGTTTCTACAGAAAAAAGGAACTCTCTGACTTTTAGGTACTTAAGTGGTTGAAAACATCAGGGATGCTTTCTTGGAAAAGAGCAAAAATAAAACAAAACAAAAAAAAAAAAAAAAAACCTGAAATCTCTAAGGAGGGATTCTATATTATTAATGATAATTTCAGCCTGTTATAAAGCATCTTAAAATATTTTCTTGGTTGGGGGAATGCATGGAAGAGACCAAGAGTATAAGTGCAAAATATATTTTTCTCTTTCT